CGCGCGGGAAACGTCGCAAATTGGAAATACCGCTATTGTGCCGCAGTGTTTAATGAGTAGATACTCGTTTTCAGGCTTACTCGAGGAGCAGACCGCGGGATAATCAGCGGCACCATTGCGTTAAGGCTAGGAAAGGGGGTAAAGCATCAGGCCGGACTGGGGGATTCTTATGTCAAGGGTTACGCTGGCTCTGCCCTTTGCCGAGGGCACTCCAGAGGTCATATGCGCCATATGCTATGCAGTTGCGCATGTGGGTATTTAGGGGCTTACCTAGTAGAGACGTCCTTCCGACGTAAATAAATACATACCTCATTGCAATAAGGTCCCCGATATAATCATCTGCCTCAAATACCAAGTTACCACATCTCCAAAATTTGAATTCTAGTAACACTCAAATGTTCTGTTGTTACATGGTAAACCGATTGATGATGATTATATTAACCAGCAGTATACTATCAAGAGGTATACATGTATATGTACCTCTTAACCGTATCTTAGTGGGTATTAGAATTTGACATCACGTGAGACCCGTAGCTTAAATGTACTACGAAGCCGTCAGTACCCGCCTCCCCCCTTTTCTCCATCACCCCTTTCTCCTTGCCATGTCGTCTCTGCCATACCACGAACCATCCATCACCCAAGTCCTAGTCATCTCATCATTCCTCCTGGCGCTCAATGTGATCGACGCGCTCCTGGACCGCGCACTGTACTGCGGCCTGGTGGGCCAGGTCCTCGTCGGCGTCGCGTGGGGCGCGCCAGGGGGCGACCTCCTCTCCGCGGACCTGCAGAGCGCCGTCGCGCAGCTGGGCTACCTGGGCCTCGTGCTCGTCGTGTTCGAGGGCGGCGCCGCGACGTCCGTCGAGGCCGTCAAGAGGAACCTGGCGCTGAGCGCGGCGGTGGCGGTGACGGGCGTCGGGGCGCCGATGGCCCTTAGCTTCGCGGCGCTCGGGACCATGGCCGCGGCGAGCACCGTCCAGTGCTTCGCCGCCGGCGCCGCGCTCTGCTCCACGAGCCTCGGCACCACGTTCGCCGTGCTGAGCGCCAGCGGGCTGGCGGATACTCGGCTTGGCAGCGTCCTGGGGACCGCGGCTATGATGGATGATGTGCTCGGGCTGGTCATGGTGCAGATTGTTTCGAGCTTGGGCGCTGCGGCTGGGGGTGGGGGTGGGAAGGTGGATATCGATGTCGGGAATACGGTGCTCAGGCCCGTGCTAGTCTCGCTTGCGTTTGCCGTTGGCGTCCCGTTGGCTTGTCGGTTCGTGCTGCGGCCGCTTCTTCATGTGACCGGCGGAGGTAGGGCTACATGCGAGAAGGAAACGAAGGCATCCTGGTGGCGGAGAGGCGGCTTCCTGGACGAGAATAAAGCTGGCTTCGTCGCCCAGACCGCACTCTTGCTTGCGCTTGTTGTGGGTGCTAGCTTCGCGGGCGCCTCGGTGCTACTCGCTGCGTATCTTGCTGGTATCGTGGTTGCTTGGTGGGATGATTTACAGCGTTACGAAATGGAGAAGCCTGGAGAACAGAGTTTGGACGGTTCTACTCCGGCATCAGAATTACCCAGAGCTGAGGAGCTAGCTGAGTCTAGCGAGGAATCGACAATAGCTACCAGGGGCCCAGGAATAAGTGAGGGCGCTGCTGCTGCTGATTGCCCTAGCACTACACCCCTGCCGCCAACTCGTTTAGAATCTCAACTGGAGCAGGCTCCAAGACGTGGCGGCTCAGATATCTACGAAATGTACTATTCACACGCGGTCGGTCGAATTCTAAAGCCATTCTTCTTCGCCTCGATCGGCTTCTCTATTCCAATCTCCGACATGTTTTCCGGGGAAATTGTGTGGCGCGGTATTATCTACAGCATCCTGATGGCTATTGGCAAGATTCTGTGCGGCCTATGGCTGGTGCGGTTCCCCGTGTCGATGGGTGGATTAGCGGACAGATTCGGCTCGTTCATCTCATCCCGGTATCGTTTGCTTTTCTCTAGATTCCGCCGGCATCGAAATTCGAATTCACCACCATCAAAAGAGACGTCTGCTGAAGCACCGGCGTCTGGCCCTACTTCTCGGGTTGCTGAAAATGCCACATCGAGAAGCGGTCAGAGAGCCCATGCTCCATCTCAACGGCAACAGCTAGCTGCTCCAACCAGCCGCGGCAACGATTCGCCTAGAGCTACGGCACCGACCAAGCCGCTGTCGCTTTACCCCGCAGCAATTGTGTCGTCAGCCATGGTGGCCAGGGGCGAGATCGGGTTCCTGATCTCGGCCGTGGCGGAGAGTAACGGCGTCTTCCGGCGACCCTCGGACGGCTCGGACGCCGGCGCGTCGGCGCTCTTCCTGATTGTTACCTGGGCTATCGTCTTATGCACCATCCTTGGGCCGATAAGCGTCGGCGTGCTGGTGAGGAGGGTTAAGAAGCTCGAGGGGAGAGCCGTCAGGGCTGGAGGGAGGGGGACCAGGAATGTCCTTGGTGTATGGGGTGTCCAGTAAGTGACGAAGAAAAGGTACAAGAAATCTCGGGTTCATATACCTGCCTCTTACATATTAAAGGGTTGTTTTAGGTAAGATGCTGCCTACCTACTCATGACCTTTCGTAAGAATAGTGCTACCGGCCGATGAGCTACCCTCTCTGGGACGCATCTAGAATACTTGATATTTGGCATAAATATAAACACGGCTTTCTACCGACCTCGAGCTCCGAGCACGCCACATGAGACTTGGATCATGCATATCATTGATCATCTGATTCAACATCTTTCAATTGTATGAGACTCGGATGGAAAGTAGCCTCATCACAAATTCTTTCTTCCGAGCACAACATGGAGCGAATCGAGTCCCTTCATGCGATAGTGCGGTCGAACCTCCTCTAACAGGTGAAGACCGGAGGGCCTATTTCTACCAGTCAGAACTACTTCGCTTGACGACCTGGGTGGATATCAACTCACCGGGGATCTTGTAGGGGTTGCTGGTTCCCGGGGGTTTACTGTAGATATCGATGAGCAGACCGGGGTCGTTGGACTACGCACGTGTCAGAAATACATCACCGTAAAGGGTGGCTGCCTATTCACGAGGAAGAGGTAAGATGTAGCGCAGAGTTACCTTGTAGATGCCAGGAATGCTAGAGGTGGACGGCTTCTTGGTCGCCTTGCCGCCCGTAACGTTGATCTGAGCGCATTCCATCTACATCATTCATGCGTCCAAGTCAGCCAGATTTCCGACCTAAGATTGCTGAGGCGTCCTCTGAAGGGAGAAATCCAAAGGAATACTCACGTAAAGCTGGGCGCCATTGGCGGATCGAGCACCGTGCAGGGCGATCATCTCAGCACGCAGGAGGTACTGGCCGTCCTCGATGCAGTCGGGAATCGTGATCTGCTGGTTGCCGCCGTTGTTGATGACGGTGTCGGTGCCCCATTTGCCGTTGCTGTAGCCTTCCTCCTGGATCTTGAACCAGCCGTCGCCGACGCCGCTGTCCTTGGTCGCGTCCGAGACTTTCTTGAGATAGGCCATGACGGGGCCTTTGTGCCCGGGGTCCATCACGTCGTTGGCTCCGGCTATAAGGCCACGAAGGTCCGATCAGCACAGTGCCGTCTTGGGATTGTGTGTCCTTACATTGCAGGGTGTGTCGCCAGATGGCGCTCACGGTTTCGCCGGCCTTCACGTCGATGATCTTGTCTGACGGCATGGTTGGGTTGGGAGGCCCGTTGCAAGCCAGGTTGCTATTGCTCACATCGGTTTGCGGCTACAGTATGCCATATTAGCCAACTCTTATGGGTATTCCCTTTCCATTCATAGGGTTCCTGGGCTCTCGTACATACCCCATCGTATGAAGGTGTGCGGATTGCATAGGACACAGCTAGAAACCATCAGTAACCAATCCTCGAGTAGGTATATAGTGTTTGACTTAACAAAAAACGGACTTACGGTATGTCTCCGCATCGGTCTTGAGCTGGCAGAAGATAGTATGACCCGAGGCCACGGAAGCCAGGACGGCGGTAACACCGATGTTGGAAAGCTTCATGATGGCTTTAAGGATATAGCTACTTAGAAACCTACTGAAAACAATATCTCGACGTTAAGGAAGGTCAGGGAATTGGCCTGCCAGCGAGACATTTCACATGGCATATATATCGTCCCTACTCCTGAGCCTCCATTTCCCCAGATCAATTTCATTTCATCATACATGTATGCTATATAGTGCCAACAACGGACGGCACCACTCGCAGTTCGCAAGGACAAGCATGTCACGAGTACGAGGCCCATTTTTACTCGCTGACGGTAGGTGAGCTGGCGAATGAGGCCAGGGAGCGGGAGAAGCGACCGCGGCGCAAAGGCCTCCGTCACGAATAGGATAACTTGGCCATGGCCCTCACATTATATAGCCGCTTCTTTTTCATATATTTACTTGCAAGATCTACTAGGATTCTCGGTTCCCCGGATTTATATATCTTCGGTTTGGGGGTAAGAAGTCGAGATGTTGAAGCGTCGCCGGAAATGCCAAGATTCCGTATTCTGAGGATGGATTGGGCGTGAGGTGATGTTCTGTCTGAATATATTATATGCGGATGTCATGAGAGAAGATATCAACAAAGTCGATTAGGCCTCAATATAGTATCCAAGTTGTGTCAAAAAAAATTGCAAGATAGATCTTTAGCGCCCAAGAAACGTCATGTTCAACACCACGTATCTAGAGGAATGATCACTTGTCCTACGTCGGGCTTCATAGTCTTGTTGAACTTATACGGATAAGATAATGTAGAATCGATGGACTTCCCTTAAACATCTAGCCTTTAAAATGACTACGCGTTAAATGTGTGTTATTCTCTCTTTAATGCTCAGACTCTAAGAGTAAGGTTGGCGCTGTAGCTTGCTCGGCTTGTCCCACTGTCCGACAACCCCACCAGAAAAAAAGTAAAAAGACAACCAATGCGCAAATGCTGCAATGTATATCTTCAATAATGACTTATCTATCCTCTCTAAGAGAGAGGAATTATTTCAAAAAAGAAATTTGTTAGGACCCAGCGTGGATCGAACACGCGACCTCGGGATAGCTGCTTGGTGACTGCAATCCTGCGCTCTACCACTGAGCTATGAGTCCTTGTCTGTGCATTTTCGCCGCTATTTCGGACTTATATCCCTGCGATCATATGAATCCCACAGATTGTACACCGCCCCCTTAGTTACAGGGTCAAACGTCCAGGAATTGGAACTTCCGATTTTTTAGATGGAAGAAATAAATAGGTAGGTAGTTTTATTCTCCTATTCTTGCATTGGTTGCGTACCTTAGGAACACCAAAGCGTGTCTTGGGGTGAAGTCGAAAATGTCCGGCTCATTCTATTTCTACGGTCAAATTACTAATCGATGCGCTCAAGAAGGAGCTCTCAACCAGCGGGGTTCAAATGCACCAGTTCAAGCTTCCAAATATTTGAGATCTGACGCTTGCTCCGTCCACCGTTCCCCACCGTCATAGTTGAACTGCCTCCTCAGTAGAAACGAAATAATATGATCTACAATAATATCGCATGTAAATTGATTGGACTACGCATACGCATCAGCTAATACCCAGCCGTGGCTTGACGGTCGAAGGTGCAATCGACGTCGTCGCCCCTCGCTGTCTGGACGCCTGTTCGACAGCATCCTTAAGAGCATTATCGGCCTATAGATTTATCATGAACTAGTTAGACTCCATCAATGCAGTACGTTCCAAGATTAGGTACCTCGTAGTGATATATCCAGTTATTCTTCGAGTTCCAGATACGGCCGATGCGGTATCGGATCTCCTCATCGGCCGGAAGGCCCAGCGCTGCGAGCTCCTTCTCCGCAGTCGAGAATCCGTTTAGGATTTTATACAGCGCTGAGTAATGAGGCGCGCGCACGCAATCGAACAGCCTCAATCCATCCGCGATAGACCTCCCCTCGTTGTGCGCCCACCGGAGCGCACCGGCGAGGACATGAGCATCTTCGAGCGCGAAGCCCGCTCCGGCCCCGAACGCCCCGGATAGCGGGTGCGAGGCGTCGCCAACGAGAGCGACAGACCCGGATCTATCGACTACGCTGGAAAGCCGGTCTCCGGCAAAGAAGTCAAATTTCTGAACGTACGTCACGAGTCTCAACAATTGCTGAATCGGTAGCACAAATTCATCGAAGGACCTGATGAAGCGTTCAACATACGCTTCACGTCCCCAACTTAGGCGCTCGTCGCCTTCTGAAGGCTCTTCAATCTTCGCAGTGATCTCGAAATCGTTACCTGCTAATGGGCAAGTGTAAACCCACTTGCCGTCGTTCCCGTGCCAGAACGTGGCGACGCGGACGATGCCGTTGATCTTCATCGCATCGTTGAGCCTGACTACCGTACGGTACGCTGTAGCACCTGTGTACGACAGTCGATGATCGGGAAATACGAAACCTCTCACGACCTGATAGTCTAGGATTAGTGACAGATGCTAACTTCGGGCAAAAGCTAGAGGTCTCATTTTAGAGGCCTAGTTCCATTTATTTTGGCCTCTAACTCACAGAGCGAATCCCATCGGCTCCAACCAAAACGTCGACTTCGTCGGCGAAGCCATCTTCGAAGACGAGTTGGAGTTTCTCCCCGCTGTCGGGAACGGATATGTGTACAAGTTTTGTACCCGCACGAATCCGGTTTTGATCTACCTCTCTCAAGAGGGCTTGCTGGAGCTTTGCCCGGTGCGCTCGACAGGGACGCTGATGAGGCGGAGTGTCCGCGCGAGGCCTCTGTTCATCGATTAATTGGCCAGTTCGTCCGTTCCTTCATCTCTCGGCAACTTGTAAGCTCGCGATCCTGTGTGTCTCGCAGTTGCCAATCTGCACATCGGTTTACTACCGTAGCCACTCACCGATGTTGGAGATAATGCCCATCCACACCATCTGGCCTGAAGAAATCTTCCGTGATGAGATGCTGGGCAGCTCCCATCAGCTCTAGCATTCTCCATGTGTTTCGCTGGATGGTGATCCCAGTGCCGATTTCGCTGATCGCGGGCTTCTTCTCATAGAGTCTCCAATCGACAAATTCTAGTTTGCTCAATTCGATAGCCGTAGCGAGGCCTGCTGGCCCGCCGCCGATAATTGCTACCTTCAAGTTTATCGAAGCAGCAGAAGACGTGAAACTCATCTTTAGCCCCTCGATTATCTCCTTTTCCTATAGTAATATACTTATATCACCGACAATGTCTTCAAAGTCTCGTCGTGCATCAGAATCTAATGATTCCAAGGTTTGTTCGTGCAGCACCCCTCAATATAGCTGTACACAAAGAATTAGGCGTATCCTCGACCAGTAATCTCTGAGGATCGCTATTTGCTACCCGACCCCTTCCCGAGCGGAGTTGGATTGTGATAGAATAAGTGTAACATATTCGCCATCGCGATAATCTCATTCACGTGATAATAGGTAGCCAATGACTTAAACATAGGAGGAAGACTAGAAAATCAAAACGGATGGTTGTTGTAGAACATGTTGACTCGGAGTAAACTGAGCTGAAGTATCGTTATATTGTACGGAGCAGTAGCATCTCATTCCAAACTTAACGGATGTCAAGGAACCTCGATATCTCTGGTTAGCGAACCGATTCGAGTCCTAGCTACTATCGGCCATAGTATTATTCCCGTGCAGTCCGTGGTCACCGTGAGGGTTGCTTTCAGCGTTCAATGCCTGATACCGATGGACTGTCGCGATTGCATTTCGCTTCGCCATTACCGGCAGACTGGTCAACCACTGATGTGACCTTACTGAATGATGATGATGCAAAACTCAGGGGCATCCCTGATATGCGGTAGTCCCCAGACTTGGCTGTCGGAGAGAAATTGATAGAAGCGAAGTGGGAAACACCCCAACCGAGAGATGGCTATGTGGTGAAGGCTACACCATCCCGGCTAGTCTTCTCACGTTTCTCGGATAGGGAATGCTTCCGGATCAGGTCGAGCGTCGAGTGGTATCTAAGGTCTAAAGCTTCAAACCAGATACATACCTATCGAATGCGCCAGCGCAAGGCTTGAGCTGATAGGCTTGTATCTGCCTACCTTAGTGCAGCGCATATCGTGGTAGTCGAGGGCTGCATACATACATACAGTACGAGATCTAGTGTAGACCGACTAGTACCCGCTGGGTTAAGGCGCCAGTTGCCCGGCACACCCGGGAGCGTGGACGCGGTAGTGAGTAGAATCCGGCACATCTGGATGGATGTCATTGCTTCGATAGTAGATTCTTATCGATTGTGACGCGTAGTGGGCTGGTGGGCTGGTGGGCTGTCAGGCTGTGTGGAGCTTATGATCCAAGACAGTCTCAGGGTCCGTTAAAGCACGGTCTAGCCCACTATGTACCTGGGTACGCTGGCACGGTACAGGGAACACGCATCTCAGCTCAATCGCCCCACTCCCTAAAACAGTGGCACAAGCATGAGATCCCGTTCGCTTGCAGTTGACTTCCGAATGAGGGAGGTTAGCCATCATCTGGTTGGTTGGCTGGTCGACTGGGTGGAATGCTCAAATGTACTTACACTGAAGAAATTAAAGAACAAGAATTGGGTGGTCAGACGCGCACTCACAAGACGGCGCAACTTTTGGTAATAGTGTACATCTACGGTACACATCGTAGCCGAGTGTAGGCGTCATTCTCTAAGAAACCAACTTAGTTTGCGATGGGATGATGACAGTTATGGAGTTTTAGGCAGATGCGAGTCAGGCTCTGCTATGGATGAGTCGTTATGCCAGCCTCCTAACCTACTAGAGATGGTCTATGCCTGAACCAACTCGAAACCTTGCTTATACGAAAGTTCTAAACACATGGCTTCTGGGGTTGAAGACAAGAAGAGTGAGGGGCTGGCGAGTGATTATTACTCTGAGTTCCAGAAGTGAAAAAGTCGCAAGGTAGGTTCGTTCGTTGACAAAAGCCGCAGGTCACGACTTCTGAGGAGCAGAGGATTGACAAGCGACGTCTCGACATGATCCAATGAGGTGGCTCGCATTTGGGGAAGTTTCTCGCGTGAGAGAAACCGTACGACTCGGGACTCGACCTTTCTTCTTATTACTTAACGTCATGCAGCTCCGCAAGTTTCAGATTGGTCCAGTCTCATCCACCTTTAGAAAGAGGCTAGGCGCGGGTACTTCTGGTATACTTTACAGAAGTACCAGCGTGCTAGGAGCATGCTAACCATGCCAGGCGTTGGTTCGCGGGAATCTTCCGGTTCAATTGTCAACCAATTTAGGAAGCCAGAGTCCAACTGATTGGCGCAGCATCCGGGCAACGAAGCCTGGGTTCGCCAGTCATGCATGTCAGCCAACCGGCCCTTTGACTACGCACGTATTAAACAGCATTCCGCGGCACTTGATAATTCGTAAGGGGAGAGGGCGAGCTTCCGTCATGGATGGATCATGGATTCGTGAGTGAGGAGCGGCGCGGGGAGGTGTGATACATGCGTATGCCGTTGAATTTGGGAACATTAGGTATCGACGAGGTATCGGTCAAGGTCTGAACCATGTATTATCCTTGCTAGACTCCTTCTCGTCCGTTTTGCTCCGCACGCACCAAGCCTAACTTTTATTTTTTTTCTTTTCTTTTCCTCAAATCTTTTCCATTTTTTCTAGCTTTTTGTCTTTTGTTAGCCTCGTATGATTAATGTTTTTCTCCACTGGTGAATCCATCTGGTATTTCCTATTTCTTAGAAAAGGGCCGTAACAAGTCACAGCCAATTAGCGAAGCAGAGAATAGTCGCGGTTTGACAAGTCTGCCCATGCCCATCCAAAATTATCGAGGCAACAGCTTATTTGTCTACTTTGGGGTCTCCAATCTGCACGATGCATTGCCTGCATGGCTACCGTAGGGTACATGTCTACATGTTCCTTACCGCCTCTTTTCCCTGGGATCATACCCATGCTACGATCTCGAAAGTAAACAGACCATGCGAATCTGCCACCGCCTATTCGACTATCTGGAGTCGTCATGACGGTAACCTCGGGAAATAAATAACGAGTGATTAAAGTACATGGTAGGAGCACAGGTACTCCTCAGTGGCAATCTTTTGCGTAATGATGGAGAACGATAGGCAAAAGAGAGCATGGAAGCACGGAAGCACGGACGAGGA